CAGTGCTAAAACTCCAAGTGGAACGGAATGCAGTGTTCTCTCAGAGAAGCACATAAAGGAATTTGGTAACCTAGTTCAGAGTAATTGCCCAGTAAGTGGCTCCCTAGTGAAAGCCCCACTGACAGCCAACAGACCCACATGTGAGTTGGAATACAGACACTAGATTTCAAAGAGAAGGGTTTATTAAAGCAAAGAGGAGCTTGAAAGTGATTAGCTGTTGGGAAGCTTCATTAAAATTTGCATGAACAGATTGAATTTGAGAATATTTTTAAGCACTGGTTCTTCGTATTCAGGTTAGTGGATCCTAAGTGTCTAGTGATGAAATAGTCAACGGCGGCTTTTTTCAAATGAGTAGGAATATTTAAGTCAATAATCAGAATTTCCTCAATTTCGCATTCCACTCCCACACATATTTTTCATGTGGCTACCACTTTCTTTGACTAGAATTTAACGTATGATGGTATGCAATTTATTGCAAAATCATATGTTTAGCTATTTTAAGGTATTATTTTTTTCATGAATTTTTCGTGTTCAAATATTTGACTACCTGAGGAACGCTGTTTATGAAAATATAGTTTTGCTACTCTAAATGCTGTTCAGTAACTAAAAAAAAAAAAGGCTAACACTATGTTACCTAAGAGTTAAGAGGGAACCTGCTTTCTTAAAAGATAGGATTAATTAGAAACCAACATTCCCTTTGTATGTCTTTTCTCATTAGTGTATGAGCAATGGTGGGCACAAAGATGTATCTCATCCATTTTTGCTTTCATGGTACCAAGAACAATGTCTGGAATAGAGTAGACATGTTTGCATATTCAATAGAGATGCTATGTGTAAAGATAAATGCTGTGTTTCAAAAGCACTTGAATAGTTTATTCTGTTAAGCAGTTTGAAGATAGAATCTCAAATTTTGTATCCTTCATTACTTTTTTTTTCCCAAGGGTTTCTGCCTCATTTCTAACTATGCCACTGATTCCCAGGAACCTTCTCGGAAAACTCAAGGCTGCAGGTGATTTTCCCTTTTGAGGAAAAGCTTGATGATCTACTTCTGAAAATCAGCCAGTGAAAACCGTATGGATCAATCCCCAATGGGTTATGGGGATGGCACAGGACTGGGTAGCATTTCATTCCATTGTGTGTGGGGTCTCCATGAGGTGAGGGCTGACTCAAAAGCAGCTAACGACAACGACATCTTATAAACTAGCACACGTTATTATACTACCCTGTAGTTTATACAAGAGAGCCCTGGTAGCACAATGGTTAAGCACTCGACTGCTAACTGAAAGGTGAGCAGTTCGAACCCATCAGCCACTCTGTGGGAGAAAGACATAGCTATCTGCTGCTGTAAAGATTACACCTTAGGAAACCCTATGGGGCAGTTCTCCTCTGTCATATAGAGTTACTATGAGCCAGAATTGACTGGATTGCATACAACAACAGTTTATACAAAGATCTGTGTTGGGCAATGTAAGGCTACAGGGACAGTGAAGTATCATCTCTGTTCTTAGGGAGTTAATCTAGTGGGAGAGAGTGATACAAGGACAGCTAATTATATTACAAGGCAGAAAGAAAAAGTGCTGTGGTTAGAGTATAAACAAAGTGCTGTGGTTGCAGACTGGAAGAAGCAATTAATTATAACTGGGAGGATCAAGAACAAGGAGAGAAAGAAACTAATCTTTATTGGTGGTTTGCAGTGTTCCAAAGGCAGGAATGGTGCTTTTGCCCAAGATCTAGGAGGAGGCTGCATTTAAACTGAGCCATGGGGTGTTCAGTCACTGGGGCCAGGTTGGGAAGCCATGGCGTCAAAGCAAGGAGACCGTAGGAAGACATCCTTCTCCTGGCCCTGAGAGCAGGAGACTGGGACAAGAAGCAGCCTCTAAGCCTCTACTTGAACTGGTTTGGTGGGAAATGGGATTGGGAAGGAAAACCTGGTTTCAGTTAAAGGGAGGATGTAGAGAGAGAATTCTTAGCAAAGATTAAGAATGCTAGTGAGAATTGTGTTCAATGATAAGGGAGGACAAACAAAAGGAAAAAGGGAGGCAGAGTTAGAATAAAGGGGCCACCTGTCTTTAGCTTGGTGAATATAAATTATGGCAAAGGGGGAGAACAGGGATTGGGTATGGACTGGTGTGGTGATACTCCTGGGAGTTCAGAGGGGAGAATTATCCAGGCCTAAGGTTCCAAATGAGGCAAAGACCAGCTTACTCTGTCTTCTGAGTGCTGGCCAGTTCCCAGAGAAGAGGGGAGCAAGTGTCAGTTTGTTAGCCTTCTCTCCCTTACTAAATTGCCAAGCCCTTAAGAGCATGGACTATCTTCATTATTGCTACAGTCCACATACAGCCTAGTATCAGACTGGGCATGTCATAGATAGTCAAGAAATCATAATTGATTTATGGCAAGCAAGAAGATAAATTTCAGCAGAGTCAAGAGGCTTGTTATGGATTTTACAGTGCTGCAGAAATTTAATCTGAAAAATAACCACACAGTTACAAAGAAGGTTAAAACCATTTAAGACTTTATGATCAAGAATTGTTTATAATGCTGATTTTACAGACAGAAAACTGTGTCAATTGATTAACTTCTACAGTAATTTGTTAGATGTTCATTACACGATCCAGTTTTGACTAATGGAAACCTTTAGAGGTGCATCTTTATGGAAGCTAAGTAGGCCAGGCAGCTTGACTGTCTTAAAATAATTAGAGAATTTTGCATCGTCAGCCAGTGGGATACTTACCTCTCCTGGTGCAGCTTCACAGAATGCTTTTTCTACTTCCTCTTCCTCCTCTCATTAGTGTCTGTTACTGAGCTAAGCCTGACTCTCCAAACTATCACTATAAAACATTTTGCAAACATTTATGGGGCCGCTCTACCTAAATTATTATTAACTTTCTAACTAGGATGATAAGAAGACAAATTTTGTTCCCAGATAATAAGATGACTTACGAGAATTTATTTTAGAGTTCAAAAATGTTTTCCTGATTTACACGAAGGACTAAATCAGGAAAGGCAAATTTGTGGTAAATATGCCTCCCTCTGCCTTTTTGTGCCCATGATACATATCTCTAATTTATAATGCCATTCTTTTCCTCTGATTCTAGATAGGACTTCAGAGTTCTTCATAACACAACACTCTAAACAGCAAGAGGTTGTAACTGACACGAAAGATGAATTAGACAGGTAGTTGCTTCTACTAGACTGTAAACTCCTTGATGGCTGGATCCAGGTATAATTCAGGACTCAGCATATAATAGGTTCTTAATAAGTGCATTTGGAACAAAGAATGGATGGACAGATGTATGAACAAAGAGATGCAGGAATGAAATTTCATTTTATTCTACATTTGTAGGATATTTTCTTCTCTCTGTTATAGGGGATACACTGCATGTTACCATGCACCTTGAGAACATCAACCCTTAGAATGTTAGAGCTGTAAGAAACCTTGGAGATTATCTAGTGCCAACTCTTCAGTTTGCAGAGATGAAAATAAGGCTAAGAGAGAGGCTATGGTGCTGGCCCTGAAGCTCAGGAGCCTTTCTACCATACTCCACATCTTACTAATGATGTGGCTTTTGGCATTTTCTTTGCCTTCATCATCTGTAAAATGGGGATAATGATAATATCTGTCTCATAGGGTTGTTGTGAAGCTTAAACAAGATAATGAATGCAAAGTGCTTAGTGTAGTGTCTGGCACATGATAAGTACTCAAAAAACTTTTAATTTTTTCCCTTTTCATTATTATTAGCTGAAACAGTGATGACATAGTAATTTTATCACAAGGTTCATCATATTAATGCTGCATTTTCCCCCATGTTTTTAATAATTTGAAAGCTTTATTGAACCATCCTCGGTGGCTCGATCCCATCCAGTGGCACCTCAGATGACAGGCCTGGTGATCTGCTTCTGAAAGGTCACAACCTTGGAAACCCTATGGAGAAGGGGACACATGGGATCACTGTGAGTCAGAATTGACTCAGTAGCAACTAACACGAACAACATAACTCAGAGAGCCTGCAACTGCAGATGCTAAGATCACATTTACATATGCAATACTGAGAGAAGACAGCCGAATGAACCATACCCATTTTATATACACAGAAGCTAAGGCTAAAGAGTGTAAGAAAGGAATTCTTATTAAATAAAAATAAAATATTTCGTGTGTGGAAAACATAAAATTCCAGAATGTCATTCTCTTTCTGTGGCTAATCGTATAATTTTATAATATATAGCATGATTCATAGAAAATATATTTACAAAAGTTGTCTTTAAATAATACAGCAATGGGGCTTAATAAACAATACATAAGCCAAATTGTCTTTTAAAAAAAAACAAAACCTCAACATTTACATTATATATTCAGAGCTTCAGTTCAGTCATTTGTTAAGGAAAGGGAGGAGAAGGAAAAGTTTTAGTTGAGTTACTGTTGGTTGCCAGGAAACATACAAAGACGCCATGACTAGAGGAAGCAAACAACTCCACACTGCTGGGAAGGTGGCTGTCAGAGGACAGTGCTTTGCTGGGAGGGAAACCTTGCAGCTGTGTCATCTCACGCCGCCTCCAGATAGGACAATGGAGTTTAAAGACAAGCAAGGTTAGCCAGAGAGAGTTTAAGAAGTTAATTTTCTAATGCATTTAAAACGAGGATTAGAAGCTGCCTTCAGTGTCAGTTGCTATAAACACAGGGGAAGCTTTACCCATTTTTAATCAAGCCAGGTTAAACAGAATGTAAGGCAAGAGGTGCCCTTATACTATTCCACTGTGGATTTTGAAAACAAACTGTGAAATTAAAGAAGTGTGAGGGTCCACGAAGGCTTTTATTTCCTCCCTCTCTGACTTGACTGTTTTGCCTCCTAATTGTATGCCTTGAAATGTTTGCACTTTCGTTTTGGAATTCTGTGGTTAAACTGGGTTTCTTTCAAAGGCACCTGCTGAAGAAGAAGAAGGGGGGAAGAAAAAGCCACACAGAAATAGTTGAAGGCTGCTGAAGAAGTAATGAAACAATCATGAGTTACCAGAATGCAACATCTGAGTTAAATGTGGGGTCACAGCCTGGGCCAAAGAATCCTCAGAGAACAGAAGGTTCTACTCAATATGGAGACTATGGGTCAGCCCTGCTTGAAAACCGCCTCAGCGTGGGAGACTTTGTCAAAATACAGAGTGCTTTCGAGGTAAGTGATAACAATATTTACTGGAGAGTTTGAGCTGTTTATGAAGGAGACTAGAATGAAACAAGAGAGAGATTTGTGTTTGTTTTGCTTTGTTTAATTTTATATATCTAATGGCTCAAACAGGGAACTGAAAAGCATTGGTCAGGCCTGAATCTAACCAAGTACTTGGTAACTTTATTCCTCAGTTCTTTGACCGAATAGTATTATTTAGTTTGAAATTACTGCTCTTGAATATCATTACTATCAAGGAGGGAGAATTTATTCTAAGACAATATTTTTTTTAGAGATTAGCATATTATGCAGAAACCTAAAGTTATGTTTGTGAGAGGGGAAAGCAGATCTCTAAAGCAACTTCCAGTAATAACTGTCCATGTATGTATTATGGCAGTGGGGGTGTTGTTCTTGGTTGCGGTGAAGTTGCAACAATCTCCTGGCAACCCCGGTCCTGTGCCATCCCCATGAACAGTTGCAAATCTAACCTTGGAGCAGACTGTTGTGATCCAAGGTTTATTGTTATTATTATTATTTTTTATAGTGCTTTAGGTGAAAGTTTAGAGCTCAAGTTAATTTCTTGTACAAAAATTTATGCACATATTGTTCTGTGACATTAGTTGCAATCCCCACAATGTGACAGCACACTCTCCCTTTCCATCCAGGGTTCCATGTGTCCATTCAACCAGTTCCTGTCCCTTCCTGCCTTCTCATCCTGCCTCTGGACAGGAGTTGCCCATTTGGTCTCGTGTATCTGATTGAACTAAGAAGCATACTCCTTACGTGTATTATTTTTTGTTTTAGAGTCTTGTCTAATCTTTGTCTGAGGAGTGGGCTTTGGGAATGGTTTCAGTTCTGGGTTAGCAGAGTGTCCGGGGGCCATAGTTTCGGGGGTTCCCCAGTCTCTGTCAGACCATTAGGTCTGGTATTTTTTGGTAAATTTGAGTTCTGCTCCACACTCTTCTCCAGCTCCTTCCGGGACTCTCTATTGTGTTCCCTGTCAGGGTGGTCATTGGTGGTAGCCAGGCATCACCTAGTTCTTCGGGTTTCAGGCTGGTGGAGTTTCTGGTTTATGTGGTCCTTTAGTCTCTTGGGCTAATATTTTCCTTGTGTCTTTGGATTTCAACATTCTCCTTTGCTCCAAGTGGGATGGGACCAATTGATGCATCTTAGATGGCTGCTTATAAGCTTTTAAGACCTCAGATGCCACTCACCAAAGTGTCTTCCCGCCTTTTAGATAAAAATTATTAAGGTACACAATCATAGAATTATCGTTGCTTCCTGACAGCATCCAAACCAAACCAAAGCCCCTTTCTTTTTTTTTTTTTTCCCATACAAAAATTTATACATACATTGTTATGTGACTCTAAATTGACCTCCCCATACTGTGACAGCACACTCCTCATTTCCACCCCTGATTCCCCATGTCCCTTCAACCAGCTCCTAACCCTCTGCACCTTCCCATCTCACCTTTGGTCAGAAGCTGCCCATTTAGTCTCTTGTATCTACTTGAGGTAAGAGGCACACTCCTCATGAGTATCACTTTATGCCCCACAATCCAGTCCAATCCCTGTCTGAAGAGTTGGCCTTGGAAATTGTGTTAGTTCTGGGCTGATAGAGAATCCGGGGGCCATGCTTTCTGGGGTTCCTCCAGTCTCAGTCAGACCATTAAGTCTGATCTTCTTACTAGAATTAGAGTTCTGCACCCCACCTTTCTCCTGCTCCATCAGGGACTCTCTGTTGTATTCCCTGTCAGGGTGGTCATTGGTGGTAGCGGGGCAGCGTCTAGTTCTTCTGGTCTCAGGCTGATGAAGTCTCTGGTTTATGTGGCCCTTTCTGTCTCTTGGGCCTCTTTTTTTTGTTTCTTTGGTGTTCTTCATTCTCCTTTACTCCAGGTGGTTGGGACCAATTGATGCATCTTAGATCGCTGCTTGCTAGATTTTAAGACCCCAGATGCCACTCACCAAAGTAGGATGCAGAACGTTTTCTTAATAAGCTTCGTTATGCCAATTGACCTAGATGTCCCTTGAAGGTATGGTCCCCTGACCCCTACACCTGCTGCTTTGTGCTTTCAAACTGTTTGATCGTATTCAGGAAACTTCTTAGCTTTGGTTTAGTCCAGTTGTGCTGACTTCCCTGTAGTGTGTGCTGTCCTTCCCTTCACCTAAGATAATTCTTATCTAGTATCTCGTTAGTTAATAACCCTCCTCCTCCCTCTCCAACCTTGTAACCGTCAATTAATGTTTTTTTCTGTGTTTAAACGACTTCTTGAGTTCTTATAATAGTGGTCTTATACAATATTTGTCCTTCTGTGACTGACTAAATTCACTCAGCATAATGCTTCCAGATTTCTCCATGTTATCTTTCACGGCTTCATTATTGTTTTTTATCGTTGTGTAGTATTCCATTGTGGGGATATACCATAATTTGTTTATCCATTCGTCCGTTGATGGGCACCTAGGTTGTTTCCATCTTTTTGCTTTTGTGAACAGTGCTCAGTGAACATGGGTGTACATATATCTATTCGTGTGACGGCTCTTATTTCTCTAGGATATATTCCAAGGAGCAGGGTAGCTGGATTGTATGGTACTTCTATTTCTAGCTTTTTAAGCAAGCACCAAAATCGATTTCCAAAGTGGTTATACCATTTTACGTTCCCACCAACAGTGTATAAGTGTTCCAGTATCTCCACAACCTCTCCAGCATTTATTATTTTGTGTTTTTTGGATTAATTCTAGCCTCGTTGGGGTGAGATGATATCTCATTGTAGTTTTGATCTGCGTTTCTCTAATGGCTAATGATCGTGAGTATTTCTTCATGAGTCTGTTAGCCGGCTGAATATCTTCTTGGGTGAAGTGCCTGTTCATATCCTTTGCTCATTTTTTAATTGGGTTATTTGTCTTATTGTTGTAGATTTTAGAGATTAGACACTGATAGGATTTGTCAGCCAAAATTTTTTTCCGAGTCTGTAGGTTGTCTTTTTACTCTTTTGGTGAAGCCTTTTGATGAGCATAAGTGTTTGATTTTTAGGAGCTCCCATTTATCTAGTCTCTCTTCTGGTGCTTGTGCATTGTTACTTACGGTTCCTATTGTGTTTATGCCATGTATTAGGGCTCCTAGCGTTGTCCCTATTTTTTCTTCCATGATCTTTACCATTTTCGATTTTACGTTTAAGTATTTGATCCGTTTTGAGTTAGTTTTTGTGCATGGTGTGAGGTATGGGTCTTGTTTCAGTTTTTTGCTGATGGATATCCAGTTATGCCAGCACCATTTGTTAAAGAGACTGTCTTTTCACAAATTAACAGACTTTGGGCCTTTGTCAAATATCAGCTGCTCACAGGTGAATGAATTTATGTCTGGATTCTCAATTCTGTTCCATTGGTCTATGTGTCTGTTGTTGTACCAGTACCAGGCTGTTTTGACTACTGTGGCAGTATAATAGGTTCTAAAATCAGGTAATGTGAGGCCTCCCACTTTGTTCTTATTCTTGAGTAGTGCTTTTCTTATTCGGGGCCTCCTCTCTTTCCATATGAAGTTGGTGATTTGTTTCTCCACCTTATTAAAAAATGCCAGTGGAATTTGGATCGGGATTGCATTGTATCTGTAGATAGCTTTGGGTACAACTGACATTTTCACTATGTTGAGTCTACCTATTCATGAGCAAGGTATGTTTTTCCACTTATGTAGGTCTCTTTTGGTTTCTTGTAGTAGTGTCTTGTAGTTTTCATTGTATAGCTCTTCTACGTCTCTGGTTAGATTTATTCCTAAGTATTTTATCTTCTTGGGGGCTCCTGTAAATGGTATTGATTTGGTGATTTCCTCTTCAACGTTCTCTTTGTTGGTGTAAAGGAATTCAACTGATTTTTGTATGTTTAGCTTGTGTCCTGACACTTTGCTGAAATCTTCTATTAGTTCCAGTAGTTTTCTAGTGGATTCTTTGGGGTTTTCTGTGTATAAGATCATATCATCTGCCAATAGGGATACTTTGACTTCTTCCCTACCAATCTGGATGCCCTTGGCTTTGTATAAATACCCTCAATTATATTGAGGAATTTCCCTTCTATTCCTACTTTGTTGAGAGTTTTTATCATGAATGGGTATTCGACTTTGTCAAGTGTTTTTTCTGCATCAATTGATAAGATCATGTGGTTCTTGACTTTTGTTTTATTAATGTGATGGATTACATTGATTGTTTTTGTAATGTTAAACCATCTCTGCATACCTGGTATAAATCCCACTTGATCATGATGACTGTTTTTTTTTTTTTATATGTTGCTGAATTCTATTGGCTAGAATTTTGTTGAGGATTTTTGTGTC